TGACAGCTAGCTCCAGTCGGACGGTACCCCCACGACTGAGGTCAGGGTGCAGTGTGGCCACTGAGGACCGCGGGGTCTGAGCTGTGCACTCATTTGCCACATGTGCAAAGGGAATGTTCTGCCCCCTTTCTGCTCATGAACTAACAGACAGGTTCCAGGAAGTCTCACGAGTGACACACGGCCATGAAAACAAGGTGACCCCAGTGGACCCTTTCTGGCCCTGGCAGAGCGGTGCACTGAGGCAGGGCTCCACTGCCTGCCCCTGCAGCAGAGAAGAACAGACATTGCCAGTTTTCAGACTTCTCCAAAATCTTTCTTTCAGCAGAATCCAATTCACTGCCCCCTCGTCAGCCCCTAAAGGAAGCGGCTGACACAGAAGTCACCTTTTCTTATCCCCAGTGAGGTCAGAAGAACAGCTAAAACAGTCAGCGGCTGACAGGGAGGATAAGAGAATGGGCTTCTGCAACTGCTAAAGCAAACCCAGACCAACAGTCAAAATTTCATAGCCCCAGCAAGACTGCCACTGGAAGAGGACCAGTGCCATACAACGCTTCCTCCCATTAGTGTCAGGAGACGGCCAGCAGCACAGGAAGGAGCTCCCCAAATTGGAGGGCTTTCCTTTACCTGGATATACAGGCAAGATTGTGACTTACACCTCTGACATCTAAAAAGCGACACTGAAAACCAAACAAGCAATCAAGTTACATCTGCTGTCACCTTAGCAGCAACACATGGGCCTGCCTGCTCCTCCTTCTGCCCGTGCTGCAGGCAGACAAGACCCAGAGTTACCCAGAGCCCTGCTGCTCTCAGAGCCAGTAAACGCTCCCCACACCAGCTCACCTCCTGGATCCTGTGGGTCTGTCACCCTGCTGCTGACTGCCCCACTCTGTACACGTCCTAGCAAGACCCATGGTATGTCAAGGTGACAGCTGCACCAGTAGACACCACGAGCCCTGTCTGTAAGCTAAAGAAAGCAGCCAGACTAATTTTGTCAATTACGAGGTAGGTTTGAGGGGGACTGGTCGTCGTGCCCAAACGCAGCACACATGTAATGCCTGCCAGCACAGGGACTCAGAAAGCTCCATGATTCACAGGGTTAAATTGGACCTTTTCCCCAAGTTAAAACTCAGGACCTTTCAAAAGAAAGCAGAGGTCTGGAATTTCAGCCCAAGTTTCAAAATTTCATCTCAAACCATGAAAAAACTCAGAACACGGAATTTCTGCAAAGTCTGTGGGACTATGGATGTATTCTAAAGCCTGGAAGAACATTTAGGATTTGTTCTCTGCTGCACAATGAAAAGCAACCAATGAAGTCTAGATGGTGGGCTAGGTTTCCTGCATTCACCATCTGCCCCATGTTGCACTGAACTCTTACAGCAATAGGAAGTGGAAGACCAACCCCTTCTGAGCAGATCTCGAATCCAGCTGTCAATCACATCCCTAATCTCCAGGGCCTCCTAACAATGGGGTCACTCTGGGGTCTGTACTGTTCAGTGCCTATACTCAAGGACCAGATTCAGAACCAGCCTCACATTTTTGCAGGATTTCCAGGCCACATGGTGCTTGTCACGCCACGCACACCCAAAACCTAGAGGGAGCAGGCAACCTCTCCCCAGGAGTCTCCATTTATACCTGCACGACATGAAAAAGTCCCACTAGACGCTGACAGTCACGCAGGAATTACTTTTTATCACACGCTCTATTTTTTAACCTCATTTTCCCCCACCACTGCCTGCTTTAGACTGGCACTCCACTGGGAAGAGGCCGCTCACCTGTCTACTGGCCTCCTCCCCAACACTGAAACTGGGGGAAGGATGTGTCAACAGATACCCTCGACCCGTTGTAGCCAGGAACAGGCACAGCTGGATGCACTGTGAAAGCAACGCTGCAGCCTCCCAAGAAACTGCAGTCTCTGCTTTTAGCCTTATTCTTGCAAGTGGGAAACTTTTGCTCAAAAAAAAAAAAAAAAAAAAAAAGAAGGATCTAGTCTGGGTTTTCCCATCTAGGCCTTGTCTAAGGGCTTCACAAGAGGCACCCAAAGAAAGACAGCCAACCATCACGAGGCTGAAATCGGATTTAGAGAGCACCACGCTGCCACCTGGGACACTGTAGGCGCTCACACATTGACAGAGGTTGAAAGCGCTCGCCTAGAAGGATTAAAAAAGAAGGTATTATTTTTCATCTTGCCAAAAGCCTGCAGAATAGGAAAAAGCAGATCAGATCAGAGAAGGCGCAACTGGCCTCGCTGATCCTATAGCATGGCCTGAGAACCATCAGCCTCGCTGTTTGTGCCACTGCGGGCAGCACAATGAGACCCCAGCCCATAGTCCCACCACCAAGCAGTGCCACACAAGGTACATCACCTTTGGTGGCTGAGTCCAAAGCAACCGAGACAGCCAGCTGCTGGGATGCAACACACCCACCACAGTCATCCTGTTTTCCTTTACTAAGACACTGTAAATAGAGAAATAGTATCTTCTTTCTAGATAGCAAAGAAGCCTTTGGCGCCACAAAGGTCCCACATGCTTTCCTTGTAAGTGATCCTTGTTACTAACCGATTTCTCCACCAACATAATGGAAAAATTTCCACCTGAGCAGATCCCTATTATACAGTCCAACCTGCACCGGCTAAAGCAGAATTTTGCTAGATCCATGCCTACACACCGCTAACACAGCTCCTCTGCGTCACATATAAAGACAGGCCAAACAGCATTTATATTTTGTGGTGGGTTTGTTTGCATTTAAAATTTATTTTTTTTTAAACACATTCTGAGGACAAGTAGCCAATTAGTCATCTCTTTCAGCTATAATTAACTGTGAGTTTATCAAGCAAACTACTACTGCCATTTAAAATAACTCAGATTTCTCTTTGTCTTTGGAGCAAAGATAATGCTTTTGAATATCTCTGGATTATTTCTAAGTTTACTTTTCTGCACTTCCAGTGTTTCTCACATATTGCATTTTTTTTTACTCTTCAAAAGGTTAATATCTGAAGTCCAGGTAAAGTTACTGACATCTTTTCAGAACCTATTTCATTCATTAATTTGGGTGGTTTTGGAAGGTGATCAAGCCAGTCAGCTATTCTGGATGCTTACAATTAGCCACACTCATCATAACTTTCTCTATTGATGAAGAGACTACATGAGCAGGTAGGCTCCCAGAGGGCTCTTAGTGGGAACATGCCTTGGATACATCTCTGCATAAGCACAGCACACCACAGAAACTCAGCATCCAGCTCTGGTGCCATCACTCTCGTGGCAGCTCTGAAACTTTTCATCCCTGGCTGCCTTTGTCTTCAAAATTTTAAAGACATCAGACTTTCCAGAAAAATAAGTAAACAATGTCTAGTTACATATACATACATATATAGAGAGATTAAAAAAAAAGTAAATAATGGTCTAGTTGACATGGTGGTGTTAGGGCAAAGGTTGGACTCGATGATCCCAGAGGTCTCTTCCAACCTAATCGATTCTGTAACGTCACACTTTGGCGCTCTTTCCATGCAGCAGCTATTAGTAACAACGTACTTTAAATGGAGCTTGTGTCACTCAGCTTCCAGAAACAACAGGCAATTACCCATGTGCCACACCACCTCAAAAGCAGTATAGGAGTTTGTCTACTAGAACAAAAGCAATCAAACACAAGCACTGTAATTTATAGAGAGGCAACTTCAAAGTGCACGTACTCCAAGCTCCCAAGAGCAAACTTCCTCCCCATTTATTTATATCGCTGTGCTGCAGCAGATCAGCCTCCACCAAGACCGGGGAGGCAGCTGCCCCTGGCACCCAGGGAGGTGTGACTATTTTGCACAGCGTCTCCCTGGCTTATTGTTCCAGGCATGCCTGATACTGCAGTGCCTTGGCAAGGAGAAGAGGGCTGCTGAGCAGCAGGGGTCCTCTCACCATCAGGAGACACGGGAGAAGAATATTAGGAAATGCTTTGCGCAGGATGCAGTCAGCCTGCAGAAACCCGTGTCAGAGGGAGTCACGCACTCCAATCCCACCACGGGTTTGGGAAGCACAGGCAATCATCCTCAGACATCAGCTGGATGAGACACCCACAGTCATGCACATGACTGTCTCCTGGCCAGGGCAGAACTCTTCGTCTTTGCCCATAAGATCTCAAAATTTCTTTGTAGGTCCTTGGAACCTGTGGTAGGTTTTGATGTCCTTCAACTGGGAATTGATGCAACAGGCTACTCCTGACTGGGCTCCGAAACCCTAGTCAGCCCCTAAAGCTGCTCCGCCTTTTTGAAACATGTCCCCCAGCAGGAAGAGGGCTGCTCTACTATTAGCAGTGACAAGCACCAACAAGCTAGCAGGGGGCACTGCCACAGCATGACTGCCGTAACGGGCTACAAGTCCAGAGAGGTTTCAGCCCTCAGGCATTAGAGCTGAGAGGTGGATGTGCTACCATGTCCTGCAGCCCTGCACTGAGGTTCCTCTCCCCTTGAAAAGAACAAACCCCGCAGCCCAGTTTTGACATGGGCAACGGCTTGTGAGGTCCATCACCAACTGAGTGACAGAGGGGTCAGCTGGAGGCAGCTCAGTCACTGTCAGACATTCAGCCTTCAGCCTTTCGTTCTTCCACCACAGACAAAAGGTGCGTGGAAAACACTTTTAGCTCAGCCCCAAGCATATCTCCCACAGATGGTTATGGTTCAGAGCATTTATCTGAAGAAACAGCATCTAGCCCTAAATCCACTGCTAAAAAGTACTTGTCCCTTCTCAGTTGCTCCTCAAACACAGAAGGCTAACCTGTGACAAAGAGACCATCCAGCCACCCACAAATGCCTCTGTATATTCAGTTTGTCTAAGGATTCAGACAATATCTCTAAGATCTTTTAAGATCCACGTTTGTTGTAATCAAAAACTGTAACAGGGGAGGGGATAAGCACTAAAGAAGGACTGTAATTAAACACAGTAAATAAACAAAATCTATGCACTCTCTGTTCTCCAAAATCCCATCCAAGTAAACTATATCAGAGTAAGAGGGCTTACGTTTCACAGATCTGGTAATATTTCTCATCCTGAATGCCATCTTGAATAGGTACATTCACGCTGTAATAGCGACCTTTCCCCAGGCCAACATCTGTCAGATCACCAGTGCCTGAAAAACAGAAACATCCCATGGTTAATTACGAGGGAAAGGGAATCAGCAGCAAGAGAAATGTGTGGGATGTCTCAGATGTGGACAGAGAGCCAGGCCCTTTGGCATGCTTATGGAGAAGTCCACTTGCCACCACCAATGAAGACAGGGCTGGATGGACATGGTTCTCGCTCTCTGCCCAATTCTGTCATGCAGCTTTCAAGGGCTGCAGGTGGCTACCCAGCAGTGGCTCTGACCAGAGCCTAGCCACAACCACAAAGGGGGAAATGCCAAACATGTAGCTCCCTGCTCCTTCCTTCTCCTGGGTCAAGAGGAGAGGCAGCAAGACACCTCTGCTGGACAGAAGGGATGGGACTTGCCTTTGCTGGGGCCTCGTCAGCGATGTGTGAACCAAATTAGCACAAACCTCACAAGTTCAACTTGCCTGGGAAAAATCCTGGTGAAAACTTGTGCAGAGAAACAGTCATGACTTTCGAGGTGAAACTAAAGGCATCTTCAACTCCTATCAGAAAAGGGAAGAAAAATGCTTTCATGCATCATTCATGTAAATAACAGTCTAAACACACAAACAAGCCACTCGATAAATATGGGGCAGCAAGCAGAGCACAGACAGAATGAACAAGTAGAAAACCAGACGTGGCTCAATAAATCCATCCTTAATGGAGACTTCAATTCAACTGCAGCAAAGGTTACAACTGAAACAAATTTGGAGGGTCTCATGCTGATCAGTACTGAATTGATCCCAGTATCTCAGGTCAGTGCCTACATTAGAGGCACTCGCCCGCACAGCATGGCCTGCAAGGCTGGGGAAGGGAGCTGAGCAGGGATGCCTTGGCCAGAGCTTGGCTCTGATTAGAACCAGAGCTACCAGGCTCTCTTATTTTCGCTCAGCACTGCTGCGGTTTAACATGTCTTTTCTTTTCCTTAAAGATATATTAAGATAGTGGGGGTGGGGAGGGAAAAAGAAGTAACAGGGAATTTAACAGAAACCAAATGTGGAGGGGAAAACAGAGCAAAATGAAACACACCATAAAATTTAGGAAAGCAGGAAATGTCAAATGGTGTTGAAATACACTCTGTCCTTCAGAGACATGTTTCAGCAAGGTCATCTCTGGCTTTAGTTTTATAGCGTCAAGCCTTCTTTTCAAAGCACCATTTACTACTGACTGCTTCCCTCTCACACTGGTGGCATTAAACAATTAAACACTGTCAGCAGCTGTTCTGCTGGGATGGGAGACAAGGGACTAGGGGAAGTCCTTGCTGGAGAGCCACCGGCAGAGGGGATTACTGGAATAGGAACACCCTGTTTGTTGCTTTAGGTACAAGAATGCTGCCCAGACCCTCAAGAGAGGTCCGATGAGCAGCACAGGGGAAATCCATAAAGCAGGACAATGCAGAAATGGATTGAGGGAACTTGACTGCACTGAAAGGAGGCAAAGCCATGGCTGTTGCAGCAGGTAAAGCCCTACTGCCCCAACACGCCTTGACTTGTCCTGTTCTTCCCCCTGAGTCTGTGCGGCTGTGCTGTTTGCAGCCTGCCCTGGGCCTTACCATCTCCGTGATGCAAATCCAAATCGATATAAAGGACACGGTCAAATTTCTGGCGCAGTCGCAGGATCCCTAAGACAGCGTCGTTCAGGTAACAGAAGCCAGAAGCTTCATCTCTGCGAAAAGAAATGTCCGCGAGGTTGAACATCGCCAACGCAATTGCCGCTGATCTCGGCATCATCACTTTTACTCTGCAAGTCTCCACCTCACAGGGGCACAGAGGAGGATGAAGAGCCCGGCCAAAGCCCAGCAGTGACCAAGGGATGGGTCAGGACAAGCTCAAAGCATGGCCGGGAAGTACAGAGAACATGACTACTTGTGCCAATTGCTTCTCAACCCTGGGCTTGCTGGCAGCTGGTAAAGAATCAGCTGGCTCTGCTGCAGAGAGGTCCTGACCCATGGGGGGCTTGGCAGGTACCTCTGACGATTTCACTGTTGCACAAATAAAATATTAGCTTTCTACACCTGAGATATTTTAAAGAAGTTCAGAGCCACTTGACTCAAACCCAGTCTCCGCTGCACCTCCTCTCTCTCTGCGGCAAGAGGATGGGCCCCTGGACAGTCCTGCTTGGCCATTTTCCTGCGAGCACTGGACAGGCACAGGCAGGCAGCTACTCCATCCCTGCTGTCTGGGTCACAGCTCCCATGGAGGTCCTGGCAGTGAAAGACAGGTCCAAGGCAGTCGCAGCACTCTGCTGCTCTGTTCCAAAGTCTCAGGGTGTGTAGGTTAAAGCCTCTGCTCAAAGCAACACTCTCCTTTCCTCCCCAGGAAAATGCAAATGGGATGCAGCACATGCAGTCCCCCACAATACAGCTCCTGGGCTCAGCCAAAAGTGAGCCCCAGCAGTTAAACAGAGGACAGATGTTGAATGGAAAGATTTATCCCTGACATACATCGAGGGCACCTTCCACATTGCTGGCATCAAAGGAACAAGAAAGTTTCTTAATCCCTACTCCAGACTTGCTTTGAAGTCAAGTCCCCATCATCACTTGGCACTAGCTCATATGGGCTCTCTTGGGTACTCCTGGCTTCAAAAGCCCCAGGTGACAGTGGTTACCATACCTCTTTACGACCTTGGAAAGTAACTGAGCCACCAGACAGCAGGTCTTTTTTGACAAAAGGACATGTATTTTGCTAGGACATAGGTCCTAGCACCAGGCAACTGCAGTTGGGTATCACTCTGCCCAGACCTTCACACTGGACTGGCACCTACCACAGCTGCTGCCTACCCTGCAGCATCCCACACCACCTCACTGGTGTGTCTGTGAAGGCTCCTTTGGGATCAATGAGCATTAAATGCCTTTTTTAAATCGACTGTTTGCTTCCCAGAACAGTGCTAATAGCACAGCTCAGTGACAGCAGCACTGCCAAGATTTCTTCCGTTACAGGCATTTTATAAACGATGCAATCAAGATAAAAGAGAACAGAAAATTACAAAAAAGCCATCCCTTCTGGGAAGAGCAAGAGGGCTCAGCTCAGCCAAGCTAAACTCTCTCCTTTCTCAGCAAGCCGCAGTTGAATCCGTATTCAGCAAAGTGCTGACCAGGAAAAGGGTCCTGATGAGATGTCGTCATTGCTGGCGCTTGTAGACCACTGTTACACCTCCAGAGTTTCTCTGCCAGATCAGAAAAGTCACTGGAGCAAGAAGAGAAACCTGTGCACTTGTGTGCAAGTTGTTAGGGTTAGACACGTGGTTCATGCTAATTTCTGGGGCTCCCCAGGTAAACAGAATGGCACTGCAAAAGCCAGTTAGCTGGGAACAAGGAAAGGTGCTGTCTTGTCTGCATTTGCAGACAGGCTTCACGTTTTGGGAGATGGGGGACACAAGTTAAAATAAAACATACATGGAAAATGGGGAAGCCATGGAAACAAATTATTTTACCACTACCGAATCACAGGATTCCAAGATGAAATTTTTACTTCCCCTCCTGTTGTTCTGGAAGATTGTTATTGACATTACAGCTCAGAGCAGCAACCCACCCACAGAGCATGGGGAAAACCAGAGATCAGTCCTGCACTGTTTCAAATCTCTTACTAAGAAACCAAAAAAAGCCACACAAACCAATTTGAATAACATGCTGCCATGTTCCCGTTCTCCTCCAAGTTGGGAGCGACACCAATTGTTTGCCTCTCCGCAGCCCTTCTCTTTGGGCTTTGCAAAATCAGTTCTCACTTGAACTCCCAGAGATAACCAAGTACCAATGGATAGCAGGACACCTCTGAATATATCTGCCCCAGACCCACGCTGCAGTCCATGATAGCATCAGGACTAGGCAGTAACCAGCCCATTCTCACCTCTGCCCTACACTCTGCTTCTTTCCTATCTACCCCCTACCTTCCCTCACCCCCCTCACACCTTGCTCTCTCTTCCAGCTGGATCGATGCACCCTGAGGGTTCACAGGGAAGCTGGGAGCTAGGAGGCGGGATTCAGACACCAGGTGAGAAAACACAAGGGAAGAGATTGTTTTCTTACTTCTTTGCATGATGCCACCCTCCAGGCCAGTTAATCGCTACCTTGCACTTGCCGTCCAGCAGGCACTGGGCTGCAGTGATGGTGGCTCCTCCCACAGCGGCCGCATACTCAAAGATCCCTTCAGTAGCTGGACAGTCGTAACCTGTGGATAAGAGTCCATGTGTCAGACACAACAGGCCTTTTCCTCTGGGGGAAGCATGTTTTCTTTGTTTTGAGCTATTTCTCTTCAACCGCTGCTCTAACTTTCTGTTCCAGGCACAATGAAAAAGCAATGGCACAAAACCCTCACAACAGGTATCAGATTTAGACTCACACAGCAGATTTAGGGAGCGTAAGTAGGAAAAAAAATGTATGGGGTTTGCATGGCAAGGTTTTCACAGCGGGGTGGACTCTAGGGGTGGCTTTTGTGAGGAGACACCAGGAGCTGCACCCGTCTCGGACAGAGATGGCTCCAAGACAGACCCGCCGCTGGCCAAGGCTGAGCCCATCAGCAATGCTGGTAGCACCTCTGGGATAATGTATTGAAGAAAGGGTAAAAAGCGCTGTGCAGCAGCTAGGAGACAGAAGTGAAAACATGCGAGGGAAACAGCCTCGCAGCCCCCGGTGAGTGCAGCAGGAGGGGGGGTGCTGCAGGCCCGGAGCAGAGATTCCCCGCCAGTCCCTGGTGCAGCCCACGGTGAGGCCGGCG